ACATTATTTACACACGTGCCGCCATTATTACACGGATTAGAAGCGCATTCGTTGATATCCACTTCACAGGTAAAACCGGTATAACCCGGCTGACAATCACAATAAAAGCCACTTCCACCAAGTCTGCAAGTTCCTCCATTCTTACACGGCTGCGCAGAACAGTTGTTCAAGGGAATCTCGCAGTTTTTCCCAGAAAAGCTTGCAGTGCACGTGCATCGGTAGCCATTCACATAATCCTCGCACGTGCCTTGATTCTGGCATGGATCATCAAGACACTCGTCCACGTGTTTGTCACAATTTGCGCCTGCGAAGCCCGCTAAGCAAGTGCAGTTATACCCGCCAGGTGCGTTATGGCACGTGCCCAGATTTCCACAGGGTGATGTAAGGCACTCGTCCACATCAAGGCTGCAGTAAGGACCGGTCCAACCGGCTGGACACGTGCAATTCAACTTGTTACCATGAAGTGTACACGTGCCATTGTTCTGACATGGATTAGGTTGACAAGAAGAACTACTAAATTCACAATGGTGTCCTAAAGAACACAGAAATAAATTCGTTTTAAATTTGATGATGGCTTGGAACTAAATTTGATACTGTTAAAAGCTATGTACATCACCTGAAGGAAATAGAATGGGCCAGCAACTAACTTACAAACCAACAAACAAATAGAAAAACAATAACAAAGTGAAACAAATTCATGTGCCAGGGCAAAAACGAACTTAATAATTCACAACATGAACAGGTTTCTCAAGACAAAATAGTCTGTACCTGTTTACCAGGTGAAAATATCTGATTTGGACTTCAACATACCTTGAAATCCTGCTGGACAGGTACAGTAATAACCTGCCAGTCCAACACTCTCCACACAAGTGCCACCATTTTTGCATGGATTGGACAGACACTCAATGATGTTTGCTTCACACTGTCTCCCAATGAAACCAGCTGGGCAGTTGCAAGTAAAACCATTCATTTTATCTGTACACGTGCCACCATTAAAACAAGGTTGAGACGCACACTCATCTGTGTTATTTTCACAGCGACGCCCTTCAAAGCCTGGAGCACAGGTGCAGTTGAAGTCACCTTGAATTTTAGGAGCTTGATCAGTGTCCATTAATCATATGAGACTTTCATAAGGGTCAATGATCTAAATTAACCCTGCTGATTCTTAGTCACATGCAGTTTTTGCAAAAAAAAGGACTGAACATTCAAACAGACTCCTAGTTGTAACAATAAAAGTATTGTTGTAAGAGACACCGCTCAGATTTGAGTCAGTTATTTCAAGCTTAATGAACATGCACAACATCAGAAGGTATTTTTAGCAGATTCAAACCTTGGAAGAGGTAGGGGATGGATGAGTGGAATTGAATGTGTAAATATTGTAACTGATGATCACAACTCCACTGTTATGCACCATAAGAGATGGAAAGAATTATTACCTACTTGTTACTTAAAAAGCAAATTACTGCTCTAGTTGTTTGTTTATGAATATTATTAATTTTTTCCTTAATACTTGCTTAAGTGCAAATTACATGTGTATGTTAAATATTTTGAGTTAACTTCCCTTTAATTCAAGTGTTAATGATATCAGGGCCACACCTATAATTTCTCCTTAACTGACAATTAAAATCTCACCTTGAAAGCTCTTACAAGTTGCTCCATTTAAACATGCTTGCCCAGAACAATAATCAATATCAACATTACAAGTTTGACCAGTTTTGCCGACAGGACAAATGCACTGATAACTGTTCACTCCATCCACACATTGTTGAAATGATAGACATCTGTTTGGAAGACAGTCATCAATATTCTCTTCACAATAAGGACCACTGAAGCCTGAGGTACAGGTGCAGTTGTAACTAAAAGATATTCAATGCATGAAAGAAAGTGTTAATTCACCATAACAGCACTGTAACAGTTGTATTTACAGGAGCAGATTTGCTTTTTTACATAGATGTCAGCTTAAACAGACAGCTTTGGGAAATGCCCCGAAAGTCAGGCAGAAGTTGCCTCAGCCTAATAGGGGCAAGTTTACCTTTATTATGATAATTTAAGAAGAATACTACAAATTAAAATGATCAATAAATAAAGTGGGTAAGTTTCTAAATAAACTGTGGTGCAAGTTGTTGTCTGTACCACTCAAATAACTTACCCAAAAACATTTTCTGTACAAGTTCCATCATTCTGACAAGGACTTCCATCACACTTTGTAACAGTTACATTACAGAAAGGTCCAGAGAAACGTGCTGGACACTGACATGTGTAGCCATTCACCCCATCAACACAAGTTCCACCGTTATGGCATGCAAGATTTGTCTGATTACATTCATTCATGTTGGTCTCACAATGTAATCCTAAGAGTAAATTAAGTCAAACAGAATATTATTGGGAAAAAATTACAACAATGATTATTAATATTTATGGTGATGAAATTTTTTGACATTTTTGTACATGCATGGTGTTTGGTTTAATCTTCACTTACCAGTAAATCCAGCGTGACAAATACACTGATAACCTCCAGTCTGAAATCTCTGACACACAGCATTGTTCTGGCACAGGTTAAAATGACACATGTTGATCACAGCTTCACATCTTTCCCCTAAAAATAATAGTATACATTGACAGTATTAACAAGGAAGGTGACAGAACTGTGAGCATATGATACAATATGGAAGTTACCAAAACAAGATCAAACTTTTAAAGCCATGGCTGTCAATACCCTTTTATTCCAATTCTCAGCTTTAACTTTCATTGGAGGAACTGGGGCTTAATGGCTGGTGATTTGAATTCTCAAAGGTTGCCCTAAACAGTAATGAAATATAATTCTACCTGTAAAACCAGGTGGACAGCCACAAGTGTAGTTATTAATGCCAATGTCAGTACAAGTTCCATTAAAGTAACAAGGATTGGAGGCACATTGCTGACCAAAGGCAGTATGCCAACCTGCAGAGTGAAATTCGACACAACACTTTAAACAGTTAATTCTACAAAGGAGATATGATGTCATATTGAAAATGTACAGTGTAATGGTGTTTGAGAACCAACCACAGATAGTTAGACTGACCACTATGTTAAATTTTTTCAAAGTTTTCCTACATCCTGAAAATGATTAGAATATGGAAATTGAGGGTTGCATCCTTAACCCTCTAAATTCTGGCTTCTATTTTCTCATTACAGTATTGCCCTTGAATCAAATGTAAAGGTAATGAGAAGAGAGGTAATGATCAACCATTTAAGAAGCATCTGATTGTCAGATGAATTCTCCTAGTCAGTAACAAAGGAAATGTAAAGAGAACAGTGTGGAGAATATGAATACTTATGTTAGAGTGTGAAGGATTAAACTGTCAGCCTTGCTTAATAGATCACCTTGCACTGCATCAGCAGGATTCCATGAAGATAAAGAATTTGAATCCTGAACATGTCAAGGCTTCGCTTTAAATCAGCTATGTTTCGTTAATTTTCGACGATAACTTCATTGTTTCACTGAAATATAAATTCCCTATGATCTCTTGGAAACATCCGAATGACTCCGAACATATCACCAAAAATAATCTATAGAGTAAATTAAACCGAACATACCAGTGGTGACAGCCGTCAGCCAGAGAATCCAAGGTAAGTTACGTGTTCTGCTCTTGTTTTTAATCATGTCTCCATTGAGTCTCTATATTTCAGAATAAATGTACGGTAAGCATATGAAATAAAAGTCGTCAAGTTACTTATCTGTATCGCTTTCTTGCGTTGAAGCGTTCCTTTGAAACACTGATAACAGAACACAATTAACGAGAGACATATCCTCAGACATTTCTGATGGATAGGTTATAGATCACTAGAATCGTTCCTCGAATCTTATAGATGATTAAGAAAGAAGTTTGTCAAAGAATATCGCTATTATGTTTGGCACTAATGGTCTGGTTTTACAACTATAAACTATCCAATGAATCCAAAATTTTGAAAAATACGATCTATTTTGTTATTCTTCAACATACTGTAATATTATCTTCCTTATCAAGTTTTGTGCTTTGATCGACGCGGAAGCATTTTTTCTTTACAAACGACACCTACCAACAAATTTTGGAAAAGCTTCCTGAGCTACCAACTTATTTACCAAAATCCCCCTGAAAAATAGTTTTCTAAGGGTTTTAAAGGCATAAACACTTTCATTAACTCTGCTCTGATTCCGTTTGAAAAGGTCACCGATAGAATAACACGATCGCATACTTTTTCACACTTACCCCGTTAAAACCCTCACTCTCAAAACATTCGCACCACCGCCAACCTTGCCAAAGCAACGGCACCAAAGAGCTCTGTTAAGCGGTTTTGTAACATACTAATTTTCGCGGCCAATATAAATCACACAGCTGCTCTGAGAGTTTCAAACAACGATCGAGTGTTCGAATATTCAACAATTAAGCGTAAGCGTGTTTCTATGCCAGCACAAAGTCGAGGCGACCTCATCGTTATTTATGGACCTATTTGCATATGCGAGGGCCAATCAGATGTCAATTTGCCGGCCCGCTTCCGTTTAAAAAGTGAACAAAAAAAGTAAGCTTTTTGCGTAAGTTAGTAAAAACTTCGTACACAGACGGGTTTTGCACCAAAAGACTTTTGATGAGGCCGCATAAAAAGGCTGAAGCAATCTTACGCACAAGTCTTCTGCGATTTTCTTATAGAATTGGTTTGAGCTCCGAAAAGTTTGAATTATGCTCTCAAGGAATTACGTATTTCATGTTGGGCGTAAAAACTTCTTCAAGATTCAGTCTATTAGTTTGGTCGTCCTTCCACTTTGTCCAGTTCCTGTTATGAAAATCAATGTCAGTTCGGAGGGT